CAAACATACATATATTCACACATACATACAAACATTCACACATACATACAAACATTCACACATACATACAAACATTCATACATACATACAAACAAACATACAAACATTCACACATACATACAAACATTCACACATACATACAAACATACATACAAACATTCACACATACATACAAACATTCACACACATCATCTCAGGTGCGACGTGTGAAGTTAATGACATGGAAAATTGTAGAAAAGCAGGTGTGTATGTGTGTGTGTGTGTGTGTGTGTATGTATGTATGTATGTATGTGTGTGTGTTTGTGTATGTGCATGTATGTGTGTAAGTGTGCGTGTGTATATATATGTGAATGTCAGTTTTTAATTTTTTTTAATTTTTTCTTTTAGCAACGGAGAATTTTTATAACAGCTTCAACAACAACAACTTATATCACCACTCCTCTTCATCATCATCGTTGTCCCATCTTTCAGTATCATTATCGTTACTACCATCATCATCATCTTCGTCATCATCATCATCTTCGTCATCATCGTCATCAATCGGTCTTGGAGTATGCAACGACAAACCCTATTTGACTTTCACGCAAACTTGCAAGGTCAACAGGTTTCCGCCGGAAGTCGGCCATTGTTGTTGCAGCCACAATCACGTGATACTTTGCTGCCCTTACAAACAAACCTGGTACTATTTCCGCTGCAATGATGTCACCGATGTAGTTGGGTTGGTGTGTTTGTTGTTTTTTAAAGTTGGGCTACGAGTAGTTAGATCTAACATAGCAACCAACCTGTCTGTGATACGCTGATTCACGTGTGTTCATTTGAGCTTTGTGTGTTTGTGTGTGTGTTTGTATGTGTATGTGTGTGTGTGTTTGTGTGTGTGTGTGTGTTTGTGTGTGTGTGTGTGTTTGTAAGTGTTTGTGTGTGGTGTTTGTGTGTGTGTGTTGTTGGTGATGAGAATTACCTATGAGGAAAGAATTATTATTATAATTATTAATATCTTTACTGTAATAATAATAATAAAAATAATAATAATAATATTTCTTTTTTGTTTGTTTTGTTTATTTATGATGTTAACTTCTCACGGGCCTGCCCGATAGAGAGCTTCTTAGATTTAATCCTTCGTTTGGCAGGTAGCATGGAGATTTGATGAATGTATGTTTGCATCTTTGTATGTTTGCATCTTTGTATGTTTGTTTGTCTGTTTGTTTGTTTGAATTGTTTGTTTGTATGTTTATTTGTTTGTTTGTTTTTTTATATGCATGTATTTATGGCTATGCGTATTCACATGCATTAATGAAAATATTTGTTTATATTTTATTTCATCCATTCATTCATTCATTCATTCATTCATTCATTCATTCATTCATTCATTCATTCATTCATTCATTCATTCATTCATTCATTCATTCATTCATTCATTCATTCATTCATTCATTCATTCATTCATTCATTCATTCATTCATTCATTCATTCATTCATTCATTCATTCATTCATTCATTCATTCATCCATTCATCCATTCATTCATTCATAAATTAATTCATTCATTCAATCATCTAACCATTCATTCATCCATTCATCCATTCATCCATTCATTCATCCATTCACCCATTTAATACAATCTATATTCTTGGCGCGATGTGGTCTATATCAGAATTTTGTCAATGCGTCCCTTGATTTCGTCAATATGGGCAGAAAAAGACAACGAAGACGATGATGATAATGATGACGGTGATGATGATGATGACGGTGATGATGATGGTGGTGATAATGATGACGATACAAACTCCAATCATCATCATCATCACCATCATCAACATCACCATCATCATTATCATCATCATCATAATCATCATCACCATCATCATCACCATCATCATCACCATCATCATCACCATCATCAACGTCAGCTTCCTCCCCAGCCACCCACGCCACGGCAGCTACAACTACATGGACCCACACAGCGACAGCAACTACATTAGCCACAGACATCAGCACATCGTCACAGCATCAGTCATCATCATCGTCGTCGTCGTCCTCATCGTCATCGCGGCTATTATCACCAAACGACGAATACAAAGTGGTCAGTGGTGTCATGGCGTGGCTGGCCACAACGATTGCAGTGGCCGCGGTAGCGGTTATGATGACGATGTTGGGGCTTTCGTGTCACGTGATGCTACCCCGAACAAAATGGCGGAAGGTTCATTTGTTGTTGTTGTTTTTGTCGAAGACTATTGTGAGGATGATGATGATGAGGATGACGACAACGACGATGATGCTTCTGATGCTGTTGTTGTTGCTGCTGTTGCGGCTGACGACGACGACGATGATGAAAATGATGAAGATGGTGAAGAATAAGAAGATGGTGATGGAGTGTGTTCTGGATGTTTCCATTAATTCACTGTATTTAAATGTCATTTATTTTTAATGAGAGGTTTGTGACTGTTGGTCTGTCTGCTGATGGTGATGAAGATGACGCTGATACATACATACAAACATACATACATACAAACACACATACATACAAACAAACAAACAAACAAAAATACAAACAAACAAACATACAAACATACGACCATACATACATTCGTACAAACATACATACAATCATACATACAAACATACAAACATCCAAACATACATACAAACATACATACATACATACATACATACATACATACATACATACAAACATACAATGTTTACCCACAAAATTTTTGTCAACCCTTCTTCGCATGTTTGTTCAACATGCCTACTAATGTTATTATGTCTCTCTCCTCTTGGAATGTATGTGTGCGTGTGCTGGTATGCGTGTGTGTGTATGTGTGTATATGTATGTATGTGTATCTGTGTGTGCGTGTGTGCGTGTGTGGGTGTTTAAATTTAAGCATTCACGTGATCGCATTCACTGGTAGATAGATATGAAACTCCTTTTTATTTTTTGAATAGATAAATGTCAAGAATAATTATTGAATAATAATAATAATAATAATATATTATTAATTAAAATAATAATAATAATTGAATAATAATAATTATTATTAGGGTGAGGATAAATAATAAAAAATTATAGTAATAAAAAGTTGGAAAATAATGAATTTTATGGGAAACTCGACACAAAATAAACAAAGGATGAAGAAGGAGTTTTTTTACCGCAATTTAAACGAAGAAAATTCTTCTCCTCTCTCTCTTTCTCTCTCTCTCTCTCTTTCACCTTTTCTCTATCATCTTCTGTCTCTTTTTCTCTCTATTTCACCTTATCTTTCTCTCTCTCTCTCTCTCTTTCACTTTCTCTATTTCTCTCTCTCTCTCTTTCACCTTATCTCTTTCTCTTTCTCTCTCTTTCACCTTTTCTATTTCTCTCTCTCTCTCTCTCTCTCTCTCTTTCATCTTCTCTCTTCCTCTCTTTTCTATCTTCTACCTTCTAAAATTTTCCCATCTTTCATTCTATCGTTTCTGCCTCTTCTTTTTCTCTAGTTCAATTTCCTCTCTCTTTAATTTTATCTCTCTCCCCTGATTGTTCTTTGTCATCATCGTCGACACCATCGTCATTATAGTCACTTGTGTCATCACCATAATATCTTTCCATCCTTTCAAAAATGAGAAAAGATGGTGATGACGACGAAGATGGCAAACACAAGAACATAAGACACCGTTTAATATTAAACACTAGCCAATGCAAACATACAAATATATTTTAAGTATGTATGTATGTATGTGTGTGTGTGTGTGTGTGTTTGTGTGTGTGTGTTTTTCCCCAACAAAGCAAAATATGGAAATTATATTTTGTCATAAATGCCCAGACTGACATAACATAAAATAACTTTTACAAAATTATTTAGGCAATAATATACACTTTTATACAAACACACACACAAACACAAACATACATACACACACACACAAACATATACACACAAACATACACACACACACATACATATGATATGATTATTACTTCCCTATAGTTCTAATCAATTATGGGTTCATACATACATACATACATACATACATATATACATACATACATACATGCATACATACATACATACATACATACATATATACATACATACATACATACATACATACATACATACATACATACATACATACATACATACATACATACATACATACATACATACATACATACATGTTCTCATTAGATGCATGGGCTGGTTGCAAATTTTTTTTTTCTACGAGGGTCTCTAAGGAGCCATTTCTCATATATTCATTGAACTCTATTTACATTTCTTTAAATTATAAATTCATGGAAATGAGAATATATAAACTAATAATTTATTACTATTATTCAAAAGGGAAAATGTGAGAGAAAGAGTGAAAAAAAAGAGGGAAAAAAGAAGAGAGAGAGAAAAAGAAAGAGAGAAGGAGAGAGAAAAGGAGAGAGAGAAAAGGAGAGAGAGGGAGTGAAGGAAATGAAAAAATTTGAAAAAAGTGTTCAGCCAAGGACAAAATTGTGAAAATGAACAAAATTTAGATAGAAGAAAGAGAGATTAAAATAAAGAGAAAAAAGAGATTAATGATAAAAATGGAAGAAAGAAAATGATGGAAAATCAGAGAAAGAGAGAGAGAGAGAGAAAGAGAGAGAGAGAGAAAGAGAGAATAAGAAAGAGAGAGGAGGAGAAAAAAGTTTATTTCTCTTTAATTTTTAATTCACCATTATTTTCCATTGGCTGTGATGTTAGCAACGTCTTCATGGTTATTGTTAAAATTTTTAAGTTTATACCATATCTGACTGGAAGCCAGTGAAGTGACCTCAGACTGTTGATTGAGTTAGTCTGATGTGTTGGAAATATGATGCTCAGTGCGATACGTGAAATCTTCTTCGTCAGTTTTTGAAGACGATTCACTTGTTGTTGTGTGGCGGGTAAAGCCGTATAACAAGCTGTTGCATTAGTCTAGCCTAGACAAGAATAGACATCGTATTAGTGATGAGGCTACTGTAGTGATTGTTGGGAATGGTCTGATGTGGCTTGCTGCTCTGAGGGGATAGCTGTATGCTTGGCTGGTTGAGTTGATACGTCTATCAAAACTTAACCTTCCTTCGAGTATGACGCCGAGTGATTTTATTTGCTTGCTTAAAGTAATTGAAGTAACATTGATGTACATTTTGTCAATAACATTAAATTGCCTTAAGTTGATGAGATGTAGCCAGCCTGATAAATTCAGTCTTTGAAGGATTAAGTTGCATGTTGTTGTGCAGAATCAATCAATGGACTAAAGAGATAAAGAGATACATGATGTTAAATTATTGATATCAGGAGTTGGATTGCGAAGATTAATGGTATAGAATGATTGTATGTCATTGGCATATTGATGGAGAAGTATTTTGAACTGCTGAAAATATGGCTTACTGGAGAAATGTAGGCAGAGAAAAGCAGTGGGCCCAGAACGGAACCTTGTGGCACATCTTGTTTTAACATTTATATTGAAAAAAACAACAATGATAAAAAACACTCCCACAACATCTGAGTGATAATAAAGTACATTTTTTCAAACTAAACAAAAAAATAAGGAAATTTCTCCCGCCAAAAAATGCTTTCCCGCCAAAAACATTAATGGATTAATGTTTAAAGGAAATTTTGCTCCGATGAAATTTTAATGGTTTCTCACACCCACACTGTAAAATAAAATAAATTGTAAAATAAAATGATAAAACTACTCCCTCATTCTCTCTCACTTTCTCTCTCTCTTTCTCTTTCCTTCTTTCTCTATCTAACTAGATACTTATCTCTTTTATAAAATATTGTTCTCTCTCTCTTTCTCTCTCTCTCTCTCCACTCATTTTTTCATCGCCTACTTTGAATCGTTCTCCTAATTGGCATTTATTTCTGTCAATATCAGTGTTTTTATTTTCTCTCTCTCTCTCTCTCTCTCTCTCTCTCTCTTCCTGCCTAACCTTATATATTTTTTTCATATTATTTCTTGCATAGTTTCTTTTATTTTTCCAAAATAAATATGACAAATAAATAGAAATATGAATCTTGAATCTTACGGATGACGCAATATTGATGGCACGGACGTACGCCTGGAATAACTTATGATGAATTCGTCTGCGTGTGCTTGCGCGCCAGTATTTCGCGAGTCAAAATCATGAGAATAATAATAATAATAATTATTATAACAATGGAAACGATCCTCTATTGACCAAAGAGATAAAATCAAAATGAAGTCAATCGAAAATTATTAATAATATATAAGAGTGTTAATAAATAAATAAATGTAAATAACTTATAAATATTTATTAAAGAAAAGAAAAAAAATCCATTAAAATGAACGATCCTTTAATAATAATAATTATTATTATAATTATAATAGTAAAAGTATAGTAGTAATAGTAGTAGCTAGCAGCAGCATTAGAAGTTTTAGCTGTAGTAGTAGTAGTAGAGTAGTAATAGTAGTGGTAGTAGTAGAAAAAGTAGTAGTAGTAAAAAAAGTAGTAGTAGTAGTAGTAGTAGTAGTAGTAGTAGTAGTAGTAGTAGTAGTAGTAGAAGCGACGCAGTGGTGGCTTTGCAATTTCGACGAACACAATTGGGTTTTTAAATAATTAAATATAAAAAGTAAATTACTCTAAGTTGGTGAGAGAAAATTTTTTGTTTTCTGCAAATTTGAAGTGTTCTGAAAGTGCAAGGCGATGTAAAAACGTCAACATCAACAACAACATCAACAACAACAACAACAACAACACGTCAACAACACGTCAACAACAACACCAACAACAACATCAACAACAGCAACAACAACAACACATGAACATCATCAACATCATCAACAACAACAACACATCAACATCATCAACATCATCATCAACAACAACAACAACAATAACAACATCATCAACAACAACATCAACAACAATATTAATAACATTTCATAAATACGCGCAAACATACATACAAACGTACGAACGAACGAACGATCGAATGAACAAACAAAAAAACGAACGAACGAACAAACAAACAACAACAACAAAATAATAACATAATGAAAAGTGAATTTACATCTAATGAAAAATTCCTCCCAATTGAAATCTCGTTTAACCCTGAACGCCTTTTTACTTCAGAATGAATGGAAAAAAAATTAAATGAAAAGCAAGAGAGAGAGAGAAAGAGAGAAAAGAAAGCAAGAGAGAAAACAAGAAAGGAAGAAGCGAGAGAAAGAGAGAAAGAGAGAGAGAGAGAAAGAGAGAGACAGCTGGCAAAAAAAGAGAATGACGAGAAAAGACGGTTATGACGAAAATGTTAATGATTATAATGATGATGATGATGATGATGATGACGATGGTAGTGATGATGATGATAATGAAAAGGAGGAAGAGGAGGAAAAAGATGACGAAAGATAGATTGAAAGAATAAAGCGTCCATCAAGGCATCTCGGATAAACGAATTATGCATTTTTCTTTTGTTTAACGAAATTTCTCACGTTCATCGTTTCGATTCGTTACGGGGAATTCCATGTTTGTATATGTTTGTATTTGTTTGTATGTGTTTGTATTTGTTTGTATGTGTTTGTATTTTTTTGTATGTGTTTGTATTTGTTTTTATGTTTTTGTATGTCTTTGTATGCGAATGTTTGTTTTCTAGTTTTTTTACGTATAAAAGATTAAATATGTTCGATTTCATACACACATGCACATACACACATATACACAATATACACACATACATGCACACATACATATATACATAAACACACACAAACACACACACACATACACACAAAATCCAAAAACCACATACATAAAGTGCGAAAAATGCAAACCAGTGCGCATAAAAGATGTATAAAAAGGAGGTTCGTGTAGTTAAAATTTATAACATCAATGTTTTGTATGCGTGTGTCTGTGTGTGTGTATGTGTGTGTGTTTATGTGTGTGAATGTATTTATTAATATTGTTGTTGTTGTTGTTTTTGTTGTCGTTGACAATCGAATAATCAAACACTCGAGAGTACAATGCAGAGGCTGCCCATGTCCCCTTCTCACAAACATATGTCAGACGATTGTTATTATTATTTCTATTATTATTATTATTAATATTA